AAAAAAAAATCATGGTGTACATTTAAACAAATTCTGATGTTGCAATATCTTTGTGAAAAAAGAAACTTGTGGAAACCTGCAACTTAGTTTGTAGGTTGATGAAGGACATGTCATAGTAAAATGAGTCAGGTGAGCATGATATAATCTTTCTTAGTATCAGAGGGATAGCCATGTTAGTCTGTATCTACAAAAACAATGAGGAGTCCAGTGGTACCTTAAAGACAAACAGATTTATTTGGGCATAAGGCTTTGTGGGTAAAAAATCCACTTCTTCAGATGCATGGCTCTCATAATCTTTCTTGGAAAGGTTTTCTTTTATCAGCACTGATCAGCCTATACATTTCTGATCTGATACACAGCTGTATATTTGCTATATTGGGATAGTATTGTCTTCCAAAAGGATTGTTAGGACGTATAGGCGTGCTCAATGTGCCTTTGCTCCATCTATATGGGGGGGGGGGGAGGTGAAGTTTTAGACCTACTCTCCAATTATTTGCATATTCTTTTTGGAAACCATTGTGGCACATACATACCTGATGCAACATGTTCCACACACTATCTGAAATAATCTATGCATGAGGTTCCTCAGATTAATATTAGTAGGGACCTGTCTACAATGATTTCTACACATTTTCCAACCAACTAGTGCAAGATTCAACATTTGAAGATGTCACATGGAATATTAATTCTTCTAAAGTATTTTGGATACATTCACCAATTATTAACAATCAGACTTTTTTAAAACTTGTGACAGATATAATCTGGACAAAAATATTCATGTAAGAGAAATAACTGAATAAAATTTAAAATATATACATTGGAAAGAGTCTTCATTTCATTAAGTTGTGACAGACGAAAACCCCAGTAACAAAATGTTGCATTACAAATTGGTCAAATATGCTGATCTACATGCAGTTTGTGACTGTTGCAGTCACAAATTGGATATGAGAAATATAAATAGTATTTCTGCTCGTAAAAATGTTGGATATGCTGTTTAGACTCTGCAAGTCCTGCCAAAATTTAGCATTATGTGAGAAATAATCTATCTTACTTATGAGAGTCTTTGTTATGGCCAATTAAAGAAAATTAGGAAGCCCTGTCTGCACTAGACAACCAAAAAAGAGGCACATTGTATATTAAAAATGGATCTGCCACAGATTTGACAGAACAAACAGCAACAAATAGTTTAGGTTGTGCTGTTCTTATAAAGCCCAGTTCTACAAGGTGTTCAGCACCTTCTTGGAGCAGCCAGCACATTGCAAGTTTTTGCCACGAAATGCCTGTTTTTCCCAATTATACACTTTTTCTGCAGAGTTCTGAAATTACTCTTTATTCTATATATTTCTATATCATTGTTTCAAGACCTAGTATCTGCTACATTGTTGATTTTTAAAATTGCCATCAGAAATATTGTGTTAGGGAGCTGCTACTCGTGACCCAGTGGTTCAGGCTGTGTTAGGACCAGCCAAATTATTAATGTTGGAAAATTGGCTAGTGCACAAGCCTAACCACTTGTTTCATAATGCGTTATAATATGTTGATCTGTATTAACTGACTACAACACTAAATATGGCTTATTAGCTCAATTCAGTTTTTCTTTTTAAATCGGTAAATATGTAGTGATTTCATTACTTTCAGTACTTAAATTTAATAAACATTTAGCTGATGGACTTTAAGGGTATTCAGTAGGTTAATAACATGTATTTAAACTCAAACAGGTACTTATCTGATCAAATTAATAATCTGCACTGTCTCAGAAGTAAATTACAGAACTGACAATCTATAGGACTACATCTACACTAAGCTTTTTCTGAAATTTTCCTATGGTTGCTGTACAACTCCATTGATCAGAGCATTCATCCAGACTGGCCATCTAACCCTATTCAGAGAATGACATACTAAGGTTTCCTACAAGGTCAGTCAAGGAACTGAAAACGAGACCATCCCCATTGACCACAACTACCTTGGCAGATCAAGGGGGAGAATCGGTCTCACTTTACTTATTTCATATACACAATCAACTCTTAAAAACTAATATACTGTAATTTTCTATTTGTGGAAAACTTTAGCCAGCTTGGGTTGAATAAGCTATCCTTATAAGCTTAAAAAATAAATAGGACTGAGTAAAAAGCACACCTATTCAGATGTCTCTTTATGGAAATAGGCTCTGAACTTGATGTTGAGCAGAGCTGTGCCTGACAGAGAACATGGGAGAAAAGATGGATTTTAGCCTCTTTTACACTCCTTAATACTGGTGGTATCTGGATACTGGTTTGGCCCTGGGACAATTTAGAGCAGACTAAGGGTAGTGCAAAGTGTCATACTGGAGGCCAGGATGTGGCCCTTAATTTGTTAAAGTGCTTTGAAATTCTTTTGGGTGAAAAGTTCTATATTAATGTAAATATTAGTGTTTTTGTTAACATCTACACTCTATATATATGACTTTTTTAATATAAACAAGCATTTTCTGACAGCATTTTAACTGTTTTTACTCTTTATCAGTTCATATCACTTGTACTTTATCTATTATCATTTATTAAACAGTGATAGAAGAAAATCCCCAATAACAAAATGTTGCATTACAAATTGGTCAGATATACTTATCTACATGCAAACTAAGGCTCCAATTCTGCAAAGTTACACATGTTTAACTTTACTACTAGTAGTCCCACCAAGCACTATGCATGCACAGTGGTAAAATTAAGCATGTAAATATGTTTATGCAGGATGGAGGCCAGAGTACTCTATAATTGAAATAATAGGCCAAATTTTCTTCCCTTGTACACGAGTGTAAGTCTATCAAAGCCATTGAATAAAGGGAGAAAGGCGGTCAAAGTATAATAATTTTCATATAGAAAAAAAACCCAAAAAATGCAATAATTGGAATAAAAACATTGTTAAAAGTTTTTCTTTGGGATACCTGTTGTCATGGATGTACAATGTAATTATATGTTGTTTGCAGTAGCTGTGTTGGTCCCAGGATATGAGAGACACAAGATGGGTAATATCTTTTATTGGACCAACTTCTGTAGGTGGGAGAGATGGGCTTTTGAGCTACAAAGAGCTCTTCTTCAGATCATATGTGTAGCTTAAAAACCTGTCTCTTCCACCAATAGAAGTTGGTCCAATGAAAGATATTACCTCACCAACCTGGTCTCTCTCAATATATTTATAAACATGGTCATGAGATTTTAATGATACAAATGAAACAATCTCACAATAACATAAAACTACACAATAGCTTGTGAATACTTTTTATGTTTGGTTCTATTTTAATGGTTTCTCCAATTGTCCTAATAAATAAACAGCAATGACAATTAATTGTTGGCTTTTTTGGACCAGCTGCTGTATGTGTTAACTTCCTAAAGCAAATCAAGCTTTTCTTCCATTTCCAGTTGTCTAGGAGACTCCATCCCATCCTTAAAAAGAAAAGGAGTACTTTTGGCATCTTGTTAGTCTCTACAGATACAAACTAACACGGCTGCTACTCTGAAACATCCCATCCTTGCAGATGATGACCTGGCCTCACTTAGACACACGTTTGTCACTTTTCCTTTGGACTACAACAATGGCATGAAGCCTTCAGCCCTTCAGAAACTCTAACTAGTACAGGATGTTGCAGCTCCTCTTTTCAGCAACAAGGGTTACTCCTTCACTTTCTACACTGGCTTCCCATAGAATATCATGTCAAATTCAAGGTCTCAAATTTTCTCTTAGTGGGGCTCAATGGCCGGGGTCCAGGATATCTAAAAGATCGCCTAAAGCTTTGGGAGAAGGATTCTAGTCAACAACTCCATTTCTCAGGGACAGTGAAACTTATTTACAATAAGGGTAAAGCTGGCCTGTGAGGGAGACAGTACTTTCTTGGGGGGCTAGTCTGAGCTGGTCAAACAAACTCTCATAGGAACTAAGGATAATCACAAATCTCATTGACTTTTACTCCAAGTGCAAGATGCACTTCTTTGACCTTGCTTTCTCTCATATAAACACATAGCAAGGTGTACACCTAAAAACAAAAACAAAACCCTATGAAAATAAATCACTTCAGGCTTTATGCAATTCTCCCCTGGGAGAAAAAATGAGAGAGAGAAGGAACCATGTGTGACAGATATTAGTCACATCACTCTATGGATGTCTGGAAGACACTCGGATCCTACTGTGACCAGGGCAGTATAGGAGCCTGAATAGATTAGAATAATCTTTGTTTATGACCTGCAGAGTCTGCTGGCTTTACTGCCTCATGTAAGTGTTTCATATCTGGCCACCAAGCACCAGAAATAGAACAGGCAGGAGGATGAGAGAGAATGAGCTCAGATTTTGTTCCCACAGAGTACACACTGATTACATCTTTGCACTTATTTTTCCAGACTCAGTATGCCAGTTTTGTCTGCCTCTGTTAAAGTCTTTTTGGCAAATCTGTTTTGCCTTTGCTCTTCCCACTTCCTATATGGTTTGTTTTAGGCTGATGTATGTTGTTGGGATATGTGGTATGGCTGGTGGGGGTTGGGTGCGAGTGGGTTGTGTGCTTTGGTGCTTGTGCATGAGGGAGTGGGGGTTAGGGTGACCGGGTATCCCGACTTTATAGGGACAGTCATGATACTCTGGGCTTTGTTTTCTGTAAGCGCCCATTACCCCCACCCTGTCCTGATTTTTCACACTTGCTCTCTGGGCACCCCAGTGGGGATTGTTGGTTAGATGGGACGCAGGGAGTCTGTCTGTATCAGACATTCTTTGTTTTAAAAAGTGCATGTGTGGGGGAGTGTGTGTAAAATAGCGTGGTGGGGGGTGTTCCAGTTGTTTTCTGTAGAGTGGACGCTGGGCTTGGAGGGGTGTGATAGGCATGCTGCGGGTGTACTTGGGCAGTGTCGCTGTGGTTTCTGGGCTACTGCACTGTCTGAGGGTGAACTGTGCGGTGTGTTGCTGCGGGGCAGTGGCGTTGGAACAATTTGTATAGTGAGGGGGCTCAGAGCCATTGAACCAAACTGTAAACCCTGGATATGATGGAAACTGCTTCAAGCCAGGGGGGTACAGCCGCAGCCCTAGCTCCAGTACCAGTGTCTGGGGATGTCATGCTGGGGGGTAGGGGTGGGGGGTGGGGAGGGAACCGGGTTTCTGTGGAGAGGCGGGGGCGGGTCACACCACACAGGATCTGGGCTCCCGGCCCGGGACACTCCGTCCCCTCCTCCCAGTCGCTCCCCGCGCGCAGCCAATGGCAGGCGGCGGTGGCGGGAGGTGTGTGCCAGTGCCTCATTTCCGGTACCTGTCAGCCAGCCTCCCCCGACCCCGCGCGAGACGGGCTGGGGCTGGTCGGCTCGCGCGCGCCGGGAGCGGGGACGGTTGAGAGCGCGAGCCGCACTTCGCCTCCCCTAGAACTCTGCCGCCGGCTCCTTCGCCTCCTTGCCGCCCGGGACGTCCGAGGGGCCGCCGGCGCCGTGGCGGGGCAGCGGCGCTCACGGTACTCGCGGGGCAGCCTGGTTCCCTGGCTCGGGGGGCGGCCGGTACCGGGCTCGCCGTCTCCCCCCTGCCACGCGCGCTGCGGACGCCCGTGTTGTGGTGCGGGGGGTGGGGGGGACGGGACCGCGGCCCCTCCGCCGCCTTGCCCTGTCGCGAGGGCGGGTGGCGCGTTCTCCCCACGGGGCGCGCGGGGCGGGTGAGGTGTGCGGGGGGGAGGGTTGCTCGCCCTATGAAAGTGTTGTTGTTCCAGGGAGACTTTGCCTTGGCCCCTGACAGCAGCCGCCGCCGCGGGGTCACCCAGGCGTCCCGAGCCGGCGTCCCGCAGAGGTCGGCGCGTGTCCCTAGAGGTCGATGCAATGGGAGCGGGGCGGGGGAGCGGGGGTTGCTGCTGCTTGGACGCGCCGCAGGGGGCTCCGTGCCCTGGCCCCCTGGCTGTCCCTCCGTGCGCACCTGGGGGAAGGCGGGGGCTGGAGGAGGCTGAAGGACTTGGCGTGGCAGGTTTTGCTAGTGGCAGGAGTCGTGTGTGTCCGCCGCGTGAGTAGGTGGGGGGTCCGCGGGTCCTTGCTTTGCGTGTGCAACGTCAGCCTTAGCTGCTGCTAACCCCTGGGCCTGCTCCGGTGGTTTGACAAGAAAAACGCGTTCCCTGCTACCTGCGGGGCTGTCTGAGGGCTCAACAAGTGGAGGGGGGCTGTGGAAGTAGGCATTAAGGGGCTTGACTTAATCGTCAGGCTCCAGCTTGTCCTACGGGTGCCCAAAATCTCTCCATGGGAAGAGGAGTTGGACAGGATGTGTCAAGTGGGATTATTTGGAATTAAGATGTTTGGGACCTCCATAGTACTCCAAGCCACTGTCTGAATCCAGTGCAAGTAAGGAAACATGCAAAAGTTGTTCTTTTTTTAAAAAAAGAAAAACTGCGTGCGAGTTAGAGAATGTGTGTAGAATTTTTTCTTTTTCAATTTTTGTTAGTAATTAAATTTTTATGCTATATATGGGGTGGAGGATATCAGCCAGCAGGTATAGTCCTGGTAAAATGTAGTGGGAGCTTCAGTCTGAATTTGGAAGGTAATTTGCCATCCTCTGGAAACCACTGTCACACAAGGGTGCCAATTGTGGCTTTTGTGATATTTTTGCTAGGAAATAGACCGAGAACATAAACTTGTTGTTTTGCCTAAATAAGCCACCAAATAGTCATCAGATGTTAGTGACTTTTAATACAACCATATGGCCACTTTGATTTTGTGAGGATGAAAGTCTGAAACCAACCTTGGTCTCTTGCTAGCAATGTTTGAGAGCACTGCACAAGCAGCATGCTTGCTCCCTCCATGTAGGGAAGGAATACTTGAGGTAGTCACTTAAAGAAAAAAAAAAGAGAGAGTGTTGCCAAGATGTTGATGCCCGGAATTGCAATAATCACATTCTCTATAATCAGATGAAGTAGGGATTTGTGATTTCAGGATTTGCATGGTCAAATAGGTTAAGTTTTTGTTCCCCCGCGCTCTCCCCATGTTACAATAGCAGCAAAATGCCCCTTTTTCTTAAAAGGAGCTATGAAGTTTAAGGCATGGAGCAGTGGCTGTGTTTCACTTATGATTTCATATTGTCATGTTTTAATGTTTTCTGGCTCTCTGAGTGATGCTATGAATGTTATAGCTGGTATGTGCCATAAATATAAAATATGTTGTTTTCTAGCAGAATAGCAGACAAGCCTAGGAGCGAACCATTTCCAGTTTCTTCTGGAGAGTGGTTTACAGTGACTTGCGGGTGAGATGGTGTGTGATTCCAGAAAAAATCCCTTTCCTACAAAATTTCAACACTTGGAATACTTTTATTTTTTAGTTGCTTTCTCCTTTCACTTTCCTGCTGAGACTTGAGTTCAAGGTTCTGTTTCCAATGCAAAAGAAGCATCTGTTGCAAGGAAAACACAGAACCCTTAACTTGTCTTGGCAGGTATAAGGAATTGAGTTATAAATATTTTATGTTAAAAGGTGAAAAACATTTTTATTAATAATTTGGGATTTTACACATTTTAAATTTTACACATTTTAAACTTCAAGCAGCTTTTGCAAGTCACCTTGAAAGGCTCAGTTTCAATTTGTTTTCCCCTTTGGGTTGGGTGGATAAGGGAGTGGATTTAATCAAGTCATTATTTACTTTAACATAATCTTTCATGGGTAGGGGTGTGTGTGTGTGTGTTTTTAACAGGCATTATAAAGTGTGTGAAAATTAAAAAAACCCATCTTAGGGGTGTGACTGGTATTCCAAAGGTCTATTATAAAGACAGAGTGTGTGTGTGTGTCTGGGCAAGCTACTAGAGTGGTTAAATTTAGAGTACTGAAGAAAGATGCTTAATGTGGGTGTAAGCATTTTTGGTTGGTAATAAATAAATAGCAGAATGCCACAAGGATTTCATTAAGGAAGGTTTTGTTTGCCTTATTGGACAACCAGAATGCTAGTGGGCCTTGACAGTCTTATGTAGTCCCACTGAGACTACTCTTAAATATAAACACATCCATAAGTAGCATTACCAACCTCAAGCATTAATAAGTTACTTCTGTGAGAATTTTGCACCACTGTGCAATGTAGAATTTTGCAGAAGTTAATGTTGGGTGTGCAGAATTTCCTTTTCCCCACACAGAAATGGGCTGCAGAGATGTTGGCTGCCAGTAGGGGCTGCTGGACCTGGCAGAGCCTAGCTTGCAAATAGAAGACAAGGCCTGGAGGAGAGGGAGGGAACTGAAGGGTTCCCAGTAGCTGCAGTACCCAGCATGCTCTGAAGGAAGGAGGCAGTGGCGTACAGGAAATTCTGTGCAAGCCTGAGACCCAGCATCAGACTGTTTCTCCCTCTGAATCCCTGGGCTCTAGAAGAGTAGGGTCTGTGAGTGTCTGTGTCATGATGGGGCCCGCAGCTGAGCTCTGGGCGGGGGCAGTGTGAGTGTCTGGGCTTGGAGGGAGGAGCGGCTCTGGGAGAGCGGGGTGTGAGTGTCTGGGTTGGGGGGACCATGGCTGGGCTCTGGGGGAATGGGGTGTGAGCGTCCGGCCCCCCGGATGGGCTCTGAGGGAGAGGGGGCGGAGGAGCAGGAACTGGGTTGTCATAGGGGTTTCTTTAATTCTCTACTCCTAGGGGAATTTTTGTGTGTCTGTATTGTTACAGACATACTTGCTGACAAGTATTTTGAAATAAATTACCAAAATAATTGAAAGTGGCATGATTATGTAGTGTTATTTTGACAAATAAAATTTGCAGAATTTTAAAATATTGTGTGCAGAATTTTTAATTTTTTGGCACAGAATTCCCCCAGGAGTAATAAGTCATGTGATATTTTTAAATGATATTTTTTAATTTCAGTGTTTCAATGTGAGGTTTTTTATGGTTCACTCTGTTTTCAAATTTTTACCTGCAACCATGAGAGTTAGAGACTTGGGATTTCTATAATCACTTGACTCCAGGAGCTCTGGTTTTATAAAAATACTGAATATCATGAAATTCTCAATAAAAGTGCAAGATTTGGCAATACTATAAAGTGATTAGGGCTTCAATATTGTAGTTATTTAAAATACTAGAGGAAACTAGGTATGTGTTCTCCAGCAAGCAGATGAAGTATATCTGATTGAGGTGTGCAAAAATATGAAGAATCTGTGAAAAGTTACACCCTGCGTCTTTGCATGTATGTATTTTATGGTTGGTTAAAAAAGACGGAGAAAATAATAAGGGAAATGTCAAAGTATGTGAGTCACTATAGAGAAAACTACAAGTAGTTTTCCCTGCTTAAGTTATTTTGTAAAGTCTGAGATTATTGAAGGAAAAAATACCCTAAAGTGCCACTATTTTGATTGTATTTATTTTATTTATTTATTTATTTTAAAGAAAAAACACCAGCAGCCCAGGATTTATGAAGAGCTCTACGGTAACCAGTGAGCACATGAAATGGAAGGGGAACAGATTATGGCAACTGATTTCCGTTTCAATCTTCCAAGCAGTTGCTATAAACAGTGAGTAAAATATATTCTTATAAATTATGAGAGCTACCGTAACAGCATCCTCTGAAGGTTTAAGGGAGAAAACAGTTGAGGAAGAATTTATGTACAAAGTAGTTAACCTGTATAATCAATTTACAAGGGAAGAAATATGAGCAAGAAATATAAATAAATAGTTGAAGGGTGAAAAGGAGGTGAATAAATGTAAATAGATTTTCTGACTTCCTTATGCCTGTTGCTGTGCAAGTCTTTATTTTCCTCTGCAGAAGTAAGGTAAATGTTTGATTTTTGTGAAACTTTTGTGAAACTTGATTTTTGTGAAAATTTTTGTAAACATGCTTAATTTTTTATTAAATTGACTAGAATTGAGGACCTCTTGGTATCAAGTCTACAAAATGAAATTTCAAGTCTGTGGGTCTGACCTGACAGAATGCTGTGCTCCTTTTTAGTGAAAGTGCTCTTCCCCCTTCAGGATAGAGCCCTAAATCACCACTTTTATTAAAAGTATTAAATATGATTTTGGCTTTTTATTTTATTTTTTTAAATACATGCTAGGTGTACTGTAGTTTGTAGTGTAAAAATATTATAGACGGAAGTATTGCCAAACCTGATTCTGCTTCTTCATACCAGATTTAATAATTTCTGCTTATGTAATATTTGTTTTATATAAAAGTGTTTTTTATAAATATTTGAAAATCTCTTTGTAAATCTCACTGTTGTGTTCGGTTATTGTCTCTGATAATAGACCTAGGTGTATGGCAACGTTTGTTATTTGAATGTTTGTGTTTTTAATATGTACATAAATGAGTTGTGGAAAGAGAGCCATTCTGACATTTCCATAACTTGGAGGTCAAAAGATTAGAAGTGGAATCTGTTAATACAGGAATAGTAGACAAAGTTGGACTTGATTTAAACTAATTGTTATGAGCTCAAATCCATTTTAGATTATGCCTGTGGAAATGTTAACAATATGGAATAGCTTTCAAAATACTTGTGCATCAAGCTATGAATTCCCATACAAAGGATAATACAAACTACAGAGCCCAGGGATCTGTAACTGAATGAACTGATGATTTAGTTTATATTTTAAGTCCGAATGGTAAGCTCAGAAAATACATTCCCTACCTTGACGAGTTCACAATGTAAAATTATCACATCGCAGTTAAAAGTTGCTGAGGTATGATGGCAATTGGAAATTTTGAGTGTGGGTGGGCTGCGTAGGCAGATGGCTCCAGCCTCCTGAAACACACAAGGAAGCCAGCTTGTACTTCCTTTAATAAAGGATCAGTAATACCCACCTACTGCTAACATGGTAAGAGAGAACTTTAATTGCTGTAATATATGCAAATGAGCCAATTATAGAGTAGGTTCTTACAAAACTCATCCAAGGTGGCGTAAAATATCCGCGGTACAGTTTATTAACCATTTTACTTGCTTTGGTGAGTGGGAACTGTCATGAATAGTCCCATTGGCATCAGTGGGACTTCTTGCTTCGTAAGGGTATCCTAAATGATTTGGATTGAAAATAAATATTGATAATTTTAAATGACTTATAGTATATGGCTAGGTCTTTGGGCAGAAACACTCTTCTTGTTGTATATGTCTGTACAGTGCCTTGCGCAGTGATACCGTAATTGTTGGTTTGGGGTCGCTAGGTGCTACCCCAATAAAAATAATTGTAATATTTGTGGTATATGACTGTAGAGTTACATTGGAATTTCTTCACTCATCTAAGATGAAAAGAGCACCTAAACTTATTTTTAGAGGGTTCTTTTAGATAGCTTTCCCAGTTAATAGACTAGCAGTAGCAGTAGACTGCTAGTGTAGCTAGCAGTCTGCTGAAGGAAAACTCTACCCATTTGAAACCTAGGAAGCTGGTAGTTCACATGGTCAGAAATACTTCTCTCCATTATCAAATGAAATTTTTAATTACAGTTGACACTTCTCAGCCTCCTGCTGGTGTTAAAAATCTTGCTGAAATTGTATCAGTTTATGCCATTGGAGTCAAAATGCAGGCCTGTATTAACAATCAAAAAACTTTTCTCTCCTGCTTCTAGGAGAAGTGCTTCCTGCCATGGTTAGGATGCAGAATGGTACAAATAAATTGAAGAATCACACTGATTCTGCTGTGTGTATGTATGGGAAGAGCAGGGAGGGTGCAGGCTTGGAAGAGATTTCCCAGGGAGTCTTTATACCAGCTTGCATACCATGGAGCTGTGTTCAGTGGGTTTCTTCACAACAGCAGGGATGAGTGTTACACTAAGTGAGTCCGCTAGTGACTAGTCAGCCTTCTCCAACATGTAGTTGTCCTGTGCCTGCTGGTAGTTTGCCAAGGAAGATTCCAATCCAAACGCTGTGTAAATCCACTGCAAAAATCTCACATGCTTGAGATTTGTACAGAGAGCTGGGATTTGGCACTTGATACAGGTGTGAAAAGGATCTATCTAATCTAGCTATCTTTAAAAAATGTTTGACTATTGGACACTTTAGGATTTATTAAATAAGGTTGGAAACTGGTTTCAAGTCTTAGGCTTCCATATTGTGTCATAAATTATATTGTTGCAGCAGGCATCATTAGGTGGTGCTGTTTCATGTAGTCTTCCAAGTTATTTTGCTTGGTGTGTAAGAAAATGTTCAGTCTTGGGAAGACGTGCTGTGATAGTTCGTTTTTGATATGGGAGTTTTTGTGTAGAGGCAATAGTCCAAGGAGAAGGAGTTGTGTGAATTGTAAGAGAGTTCACTTTCTGCTTTGGTCTCTGATTAGAGTAGATTCTTGAGACAAAGTGTGTTTTCCAGTTCCCACAAGACAACTATCTGTGTCTGAGGACTTGGGTATGTGTGTAAATAAAACAAGTTACATTTAGAGTATACCCAGACTCTGTAGTGCTGATTTATCCTCCACCAAGAAGCTGACCTGCACAGCCCTGGACATCCACGCCTGGCAAGGGGGGACACTGATGTCAGAATGACACACTTGAGTTGGAAGAAGGAGCAACAATATAACTTTTCTGCAGTACACTCAACACTAGAGATAAGACTTATATAAATGGGCCAACACTTTCAACCTGATTGCCAAGAGTTACTCTTCTAAATCTGTATTTTATGTACCTAAATTTAAGTGGCCTGATTTTCAGGCATACCAAGCACCCACAAACCCCACTGGAGCTATAAAATTGCTGCATTACTTGTTACAAGAAAAGTCCTATTGCCATGAAAGAAACATTTCCGTATAAGGGTCTGTTCATCTGGTAGCTAATCACTTGTTTTACCTCTCTTCCGCATAGTTTAAAATAATCCTTTTGTTTAAATGGGAGGTAAATCCTGTATCTTTTTCTGCTACCCACACAAGTATCAAATGGAACTTAACTTTTCACCAACATCTTTGGGGCTCTAGCACAGTCCTGGGTCTGAATCTTAAATTGAAACATTAATATTATCAGCTGCAATGCCTTAGCAAAATGAATAAAAACTATTGTACAAATGTTTGGGGCCCATGTAAACCTGGTTTCTGTGTCTTGCCTGAAGTCATTCAAGAAGCCAGTGGCAGTCATTTCAGCTGTGTGCCTCAGTTTCCACATCTACAAAAATGAGGTTAAAATACTGTCCTCCTTTATAAAACACTGTGAGACCATTAAACCAATACCATGTTATCTAAGAAGTGAGGCATTGAATCATTCAAAGGATAAGCAGAGCCCGAAGAGGTCAGTGAAATAACTGGCTATGGTTTGGCATCTTTTCTTCTGGAGTGGAGCAAGTCTTGTGATCGCTGTATTGTGTTGAGTGACATTATATAGAACTGTGATGTCATGTATCCAAGAACCATATCCTCTATTTGACATCTCAGTTGCTTGAAAGTGTGATTATTTTGTGTCCATTTGCTAAAAAATGTGAATTCATTACACTTGTGCTTATCAACAATCAGCCCAGCAATGCTAATTCTAATGTAAACTTTATTTTCAAATAGCTTGTTTATGGTAGGGGAAAGACTCTCATGCTAAGATTTCTAGCTTACTGGAAACAAAATGGGTGTTTTCTTACAGAAAAGACTTCATTCAAAGGGGGAATTTGGTTTCACATTCCACAAAGTAAGGAAAGTTTGTATTTAACAAATTATTTCTATTTAAACAGAGAAGAAAAGCAGGCTCCTGTTACTGTGTTCTACAGAAGAACATCATGAAGGAACGAGTTAAACTGGCAGTACAGTGAGAACACAAGCAAACCAAGCAGCCTTTATGGCCTTGGACATTAGAATTTGTTTAGCGTGGGGAAGAAGAGAATGATGGCTAGAACACTGTGATTTACCCCTCCTCATTCTGAAAGTTACTATGGGATCTTTAACTTCCACCAAAACAAATGGTCAGAAAGGACCTTCATGTAGTATCTTGTTTGAAGGATGGTAATTCTAATAGCGCATAACCCTGTTGCTAAACTGAATTGAAGAAATCAAGTGTGCCATTTAGTGTCAGTAGGTAAAGGAATACAATTTACCAATAGTATAAAACCACAGAAAGTACACAGTGCAGTCCTTCTCTGCTCAGTCTTGTTAAGTGTTTTCCAGGAACCGATGTAAATTCCACTGTAGCTTTTCAAATTGTGAATAATCATGGTGTGTTGTGTTTAGTGATGAATCATGCAGGAGGTTGCAGATGGTGTGAAGAGTGCAGCTGTGCAGAGACTGGGGAAGCTGAGATAGAAGACTGGAGGGGAAAGTACCTGGGGGGGAAAGATGATGAAAAGATAGATTGGAATGCCAGTGGGGGAGGGAAGAAGTCAGCTGGGAAAGAAGATTGAGGGTGAAGGGGTAAAGTTAAGCCTGAGGCCTGAAGTTGGGGGTGGGAAGCGAAGGCTGGGAAAGAGTACAGAGTTAAACTGACAGATATTGGAGTGCTACTGTGAAGTGAGCTGAGAGAAAATTGCAGCATTGGATGACACAGAGAAAGTGTGATTGTCCAAAAGTAAAAGAGAATTTGCACTATTGGAGGGGAGGCTAAGATGAAAGCAATAGGGGAAATTGCAGCACACTGTGTGTGGAGGGAGAGGGGGAAGGGAGCAGGAGCTGATCTGAAAACATTGACTGCAGTAGTGAGCTATTTTGGGTTGAGGTGCTGAACGCAGAGGTTTGGGAGGGCTGTTATGGCAATAGATGATTGCATCTGAAAGCGGGGACTGGACTGCAGTTTATGGTTATGGGTGGAGGGGTAGGTAAGAATGGAAACATTGAGGAAAAGCTCTTAAATATGGTGGATGCTGAAAATAATGAACTTAATGCCAAAGGTGTGAGAAAGCTGAGACCTTGTCTACATTACAGATTACTCTGATATAACTTATGTGGTTGTGGGGTGTGAATAATACACACCTCTGAGTGATTAAGTTATACCGACCTAAATACGGGTGTAGACAGCACTATGTCAGTGGGAGATCTTCTCCTGCCGACATAGCTACCACCGCTCATGGAGGCGGGAGTTAAGTTGACGGGAGAGCTCTCTCCCATCAGCTTAGAGTGTCTCCACAACAACTGCTCCGCTGTAAGTGCTGTAGTGTAGATGTAACCTAAAATACAGCATAGTTCAATCTATTTTAAACGGATTATCATATGCATCTCTTAGTTTTCCATGACTATTTATTATAAAAAAAAAACAAGAATCAATAAATACTATAACAAAACAAATTCCAAATAACTTTATTCAGAAAAATGTTGCCACTGGATTGTCTGTCAAAGCTAGTTTTTGCCTTCAGGTCAGAAGTCCTAAACCAAAAGTGAATATTTAACCACTCTTCCAAGGACAGTCAATAATCTTTTCACCTAATGGAGCATGAGATTAGAGGGGCAAAAACAAGGACCCTCAACAGCTATAACGTATTTCAAGTGTTAAAGTAACATCAGGTTTCCCAAGCACAGTTTATGCATTCTACAAACCACAGTAAGTGGAACACACTTTCTGAATAGCCAATTAAAAAAGGTCAGTACCCAATGTGGAAATATGCTCTCTGAGCTATTTTATACCATATCAGGGTTGTTCTTAATGTATATTAAAACAGCTAAGAATAAAGGTAGATGAAATTCCTGCTTTCTATACTTGCATAGTCTTATACAATAGATTAATACAATACTTTCTTTTATTACTTATGAAAAATAACTTACATAATATTCTGAATTTAGGTAATTCTTTAAATACGTCTCCCACTCCTACAATTTTATGCTCTAAATAAACAAAATGGACTGGGAAAATTAATCATCCAGTAAATCATTAACAGCTATTTGATATCTACAAAATACTGCATCATAATTGTGTTAAGTACCATAGTGAAACTTAATTTGGTCCACCAATATGAACTGAAACTTTCTTACACAAATGCATTCAAATGTTCTGAGGTCTGAAGTCAAATGTTTTAGAGATACTGCAAAATTTCTATTAGTGGAGCTGTTCCCTGACCAGTTGTGAGCTGAGTGTGTCCTGCTCATCTATAGATAAGGGCGGGAGGAGTTTAACATAAGGACAACAGCAGCTATCTGAATTTGTGGTATTTTCCCATGATCATTGTCAAAGTTCCTTCCCCACTCTGAATGCTAGGGCACAGATGTGGGGACCTGCATGAAAACCTCCTAAGCTTACTTTTACCAGTTTAGGTTAAAACTTCCCCAAGGTACAAACTACTTTACCCTTTGCCCTTGGACTTTTGCTGCCACCACCAAACGTCTAACCGGTATTATTATTATTAGGAAAGAGGCTGTTTGGAAACGTCTTTCCCCCCCTAAATCCTCCCTTACCTTTACACCCCCTTTCCTGGGGAAGGCTTGATAAAAATCCTCACCAGTTTGCATAGGTGACCACAGACCCAAACCCTTGGATCTTAAGAGCAATGAAAAAGCATTCAGTTTCTTAAAAGAAGAATTTTAATAGAAGAAAAAGAATCACCTCTGTAAAATCAGGATGGTAAATACCTTACAGGGTAATTAGATTCAAAACTTAGAGAATCCCTTTAGGCAAATCCTTAGGTTACAAAAAAGACACAAAAACAGGAATATCCATTCCATTCAGCACAGCTTAGTTTCTCAGCCATTTAAAGAAATCCTAATCTAACGCATATCTAGCTAGATTACTTACTAAGTTCTAAGACTCCATTCCTCTTCTGTCCCTGGCAAAAGCATCACACAGACAGACCCAGACCCTTTGTTTCTCCCCCCCTCCAGCTTTGAAAGTATCTTGTCTCCTTCTTGATCCTTGTGGTCAGTTGCCAGCGAGGTTGTCTTTAGCTTCTTAACCCTTTACAGGTGAAAGGGTTTTTCCTCTGGCCAGGAGGGATTTTAAAGGTGTTTACCCTTCCCTTTATATTTATGACACGCCCCCCAAGTCACAGATAGGGTGAAACGCTGGCTGGGATTTCTTCCTGGAGCTCTAGGAAAAAACAGAGTTAATAAGACACATGCACCTCTAAATATACTACCAAGTATATAAAGACTAACAATATTTTCCACATCTCAAGGACGATTTTAACCAGTTGATTCTGGGAAACTTTCACGGGAGAGTGCATCAGCCACTTTGTTAGAAGCTCCTGAGATGTGTTGGATGTCGAAATCAAAATCTTGGAGAGCTAAACTCCACCGAGTAAGTTTTTTGTTATTTCCTGTGGCAGTATGAAGTCACTGTAGCGCAGCATGGTCGGTTTGCAGGTAGAAACGCCGTCCCCAAACATATGGGCGTAGCTTTTCCAGAGCGTAGACAATGACATAACATTCTTTTTCACTGACTGACCAGTTGCTTTCCCTTTCAGACACCTTCTTGCTGAGAAACACTACAGGATGGAATTCTTGATCCGGTGCTTCCTGCATTAAAACTGCTCCCACACCACACTCAGACGCATCTGTGGTTACTAGGAACGTTTTGTCAAAGTCTGGGGTACGGGGTCAGACATGAGTGTCGCTTTAAGCTGGTTAAAGGCCTTCTGACACTCTTCGGTCCACTGAACAGCATTTGGCTGTTTCTTTTTGGTTATGTCTGCCAGTGGGGCGGCGATTTGGCTGTATTGCGGTACAAATCGCCTGTAATAACCGGCCAAGCCTAAGAAGGATTGAACCTGTTTCTTTGATTTTGGGACAGGCCACTTTTGGATAGCATCCACTTTGGCCTGTAGGGGGTTGATAGTTCCTTGACCCACCTGGTGTCCAAGATAAGTCACTCTGTTTAGGCCTATTTGACACTTCTTAGCCTTAAGAGTTAGTCCTGCCTCCCTTATGTGCTCGAAGACTTTTTGTAGATGTTCCAGGTGTTCTGCCCAAGAATCAGAAAATAGGCCACATCGTCAAGGTAGGCGACTGCATATTCTCCTCATCCCGCTAGTAGACCATCTACAAGTCTTTGGAAGGTGACGGGTGCATTCCGCAGCCCGAAGGGGAGTAGATTAAATTCATACAGCCCGATGTGTGTGGTGAAGGCTGACCTTTCCTTGGCGGATTCATCGAGCGGTAGCTGCCAGTACCCCTTGGTTAAGTTCAAGGTAGAGATGAACTGGGCCTGTCCCAGTTTCTCTAATAGTTCATCTGTGCGTGGCATTGGAAAGTTGTCTGGGCAAGCCCTTTTTGCTTGGACTACCGTAAGCTAAATGCTGTATCTCCCCATCTGGTTTGGGAACTAGAACCACTGGAGATGCCCAGGCACCGCCAGAGGGGCGGATTACACCCATCCGTAACATATCCTGGATCTCCCGTTTTATAGCAGGTTTAGCTTGAGGAGACACCCGGAAAGGTTGGACTTTAATTGGGTGAGCATTACCTGTGTCAATGGAGTGGTATGCCCGTTCAGTCAGTCCTGGGGTGTCTGAGAACGTTGGCGCGTAGCTAGTGCACAGCTCCTGGATCTGCTGTCGCTGCATACGCCCAAGGGTCATGGAGAGGTTCACCTCTTCCATGCCACCAGCATTTTTCCCTTTGTAGTAGACACCTTCAGGCCACTCAGCGTCATCTCCTTCCTGGGCTGCAAACTGACAAACCTTTAATTCTCTGGAATAAAAGGGCTTTAGAGAATTAATATGGTATACCTTAGGCTTCCGGTTGGAGATGGGGAATGCTATGAGATAATTAACAGTTCTCAGGCGCTCCTGGACCGTGAATGGCCCTTCCCACGATGCTTCCATTTTATGGCCTGGAGCGCCTTTAAGACCATGACCTAGTCTCCTACTTTGAAGGAACGCTCTCTGGCATGTTTATCATACCAGGCTTTTTGCTCTTTTTGAGCAACCTGTAGGTTTTTTTTAGCAAGGGCTAGAGAGGTTCAGAGGGTGTTTTGTAGGTTGGTTACAAAGTCCAGAATGTTAGTTCCTGGAGAAGGTGTACATCCCTCCCATTGCTGCTTCACCAACTGAAACGGCCCCTTAACCTCATGGCCATATACAAGTTCAAATGGGGAAAACCCTAAACTAGGATGTGGTACAGCTCTGTAGGCAAAGAGCAACTGCTGCAACACTAGGTCCCAATCATTGGAGTGCTCATTTACGAATTTACGTATCATGGCCCCCAAAGTTCCATTAAGCTTCTCCACCATGCCATTTGTTTGATGGTGGTAAGGAGTGGCAACCAAGTGATTCACCCCATGAGCTTCCCAAAGGCTTTCCATAGTTCCTGCCAGAAAATTAGTTCCTGCATCTATGAGGATGTCGGAGGGCCAACCTACCCTGGCAAAAAAGTCTGCTAGTGCCTGGCACACACTTTTAGCCCTGGTGTTGCTTAGAGCTACTGCTTCCGAACATCGGGTGGCAAAATCCATGAAAATCAGTATGTACTGCTTTCCTCTGGGTGTCTTTTTCGGAAAAGGACCCAGAATATGCACAGCTACTTGCTGAAATGGAACTTCAATGATGGGGAGTGGCTAGAGAGGGGCTTTGACCTGGTCTTGGGGTTTTACCACTCTTTGGCATACCTCACAAGACTGGACATAGGTAAAAACATCCTTCCCCATTCCCTCCCCTTGGAATGACCTCGCCAACCGGTCTTTGGTCCTGTTCACCCCAGCATATCCACTAGGATGATCGTGGGCTAAGCTCAAGAGCTTGACCCGGTTCTTAGTTACAACTACCAGCTGTCTCTGAGGATGCCAGTCTTCCTGGTATCCACCAGAAAGAGTTTCCTTGTATAAAAGTCCTCTTTCTACAACAAACCTGGATCGATTAGAAGAGCTGAGAGGCGGTGGGTTGCTCCGTGCCACTGTCCAAGCTCTCTGGAGGCTTTCATCTACTTCCTGTTCTGTCTGGAACTGTTCCCTTGATGTTGGAGACATCAGTTCCTCATTGGATTGTGGACCTATGCTTGGTCCCTCTGGAAGCGATGTAGGGGATGGGGCTGTTTCCGTTGACTCTGAACCGCTCTCCGCTGGTGCACTATGTTGGGATTCAGGCTCCGGCTGAGCCTCTTGGGTTGGGTTATGGGCTGCTGCCGGTTCAGGTTCGGTGGGTCCCTCTGGTGTTGAGGTTGCAAGTACTGGATTCAGTGCTGGCAATGGGTCTGGTGCTAGTTGTTCTGCCGGTTCCGGTTCTGGCTCTGTCTGGGTCTCTGGGACTGGATCCATTACTGCTGTTGCAGACATTGGCCTGGTGTCCGGGTCCATCACCTCTGACCGGGTCCCGGTAGAAATTTCCGGAACAGAGCTAGGCGTGACGGCTTGTTTAACCTGGCTGCGGGTGACCATTTGCACCCTCTTGGCTCGCTTCACATGATTGGCCAAGTCTTTCCCCAACAGCAGAGGGATGGGATAATCATCATAGACTGCAAAAGTCCACGTTCCTGACCAGCCCTTGTACTGGACAGGCAACTTGGCTGTAGGCAAATTGAAAAAGTTTGACTTGAAGGGTTGAATCATCACTTGGATCTCTGGGTTGATTAAATTGGGGTCCACTAAGGAAGCATGGATAGCTGACACTTGTGCTCCGGTGTCCCTCCACGCGGTGACCTTCTTCCCGCCCACACTCACAGTTTCCCTCCGCTCCAAGGGTATCTGGGAGGTATCTGGGCCTGCGGACCTCTGATGTGATTCCGGTGCAATGAACTGTAATCTGTTGGGATTCTTGGGGCAATTGGCCTTTACGTGCCCCAGCTCGTTACATTTAAAACATCGTCCAGCTGATGGGTTGCTGGGGCATGGTGGGTTGCTGGAGAACGGTGTGGCGGGACGATAAGGTGTCTGGAGGGTTCGTTGGGGGGTAGTTGGGGCCTTGGGTGGCCCCCGGTAGTAGGGGGTGGTCTGAGGTTGTCCCTTCTGGTATCCGCTCCAACTGCGACCAGTTTTTTTCTTTTCTGCTACCTCTACCCATTTGGCTCCAATCTCTCCCGCCTCAGTTACAGTTTTGGACTTCCCATCTAGGATGTATCTTTCTGTTTTCTCAGGAACACCCTCTAAGAACTGCTCCATTTGCATTAGGAAGGGCAAATCTTCTGGAGATTTAACACTTGCTCCTGATATCCAGGCATCCCAATGTTTCACAATGCGGTAGGCATGTCGGGTAAATGACACGTCTGGTTTCCACCTTAGGGCTCTGAATCACTGACGGGAATGCTTGGCTGTTAGCCCCATTCTGACTCTCGCCTTGGTTTTAAACAGTTCATACTGGTTCATGTGTTCCTTAGGCATTTCAGCCGCCACCTCAGCTAAGGGTCCACTGAGCTGCGGCCTCAGCTCTACCATGTATTGGTCTGTAGAGATGCTGTACCCAAGGCAGGCCCTTTCAGAGTTTTCTAAGAAGGCCTCAGTATCATCACCTGCCTTGTAGGTGGGGAACTTTCTGGGATGGGAAGTGGTACCTGGAGAAGGATTGCTAGGGTTTGTTGGTATATTCTGCTGAGCCTTTGCCTTCTCCATCTCCAGTGCATGCTTCCTCTCTTTTTTCCTTCTCCTCCAGTTCTTTGGCCCTTGCCTCCATTTCTTTTTCCTTCGCCTCCATTGCTCTCCTGTGGGCAGCCTCTTGGTTTTTTTTCTGCCTCCATAGTTCTCCTGTGAGCAGCCTCTTGGTGGTGGTTTGCCTCTTTCGCTGCCTCCATTTCTCTCCTGTGGGCAGCTTCTAGGGCTTTTTCTGCCTCTTTCGCTGCCTCCAGTCTGGCTAACTCCAATTTGTGTTGTGTCTTGGTTTCTGTCATCTTTACCTCTCTGTTTTTAACTAACTTTACACCCAAGAGTTAGAAATAAAAACAAACAAACAAAAACTTGGCTTGTAAAATTTTGCTGTACTGTAATGTGATACCTATATTCTCAGATAGTGATTGTCAGCCTACAGAAAAATCCTAAAAAACAAAAACAAAAAACCAAGAACAACCCAAAAAAAAACCCTAACATCTTTGTCTCCAGGCAAATAGGCAGAAAACCCCTCTAGTTGCTCTTAGGTTAAAAAAAAAATCTTCTTCAGGTCTCTGAAGACTTGTGAATTTCCCTGCAGGAGGTTAATTACCCTGCCTTTAGGTAGAGAAAACTCCAGCTCACAAAAGACAGTTCCCTTTTGTCTTTGCTCTGGCCCCAAAGCAGAGAAAAAAACTCTAACTGCTTTCAGTTGGAAACCTGCTTTCCAGCAGCCCAAAGGAAAAAAAAATTCCCTTTTTAAAATCTATGCTTCTGGATCAAAAAAATCTCAAATTGATCTCAAAATGATTTCAAGTTAATCCCACCGCTCTGCCACCATGTCAAGGTTCCTTCCCCACTCTGAATGCTAGGGTACAGATGTGGGGACCTGCATGAAAACGGCCTAAGCTTACTTTTACCAGCTTAGGTTAAAACTTCCCCAAGGTACAAACTATTTTACCCTTTGCCCTTGGACTTTTGCTGCCACCACCAAACGTCTAACCGGTATTATTATTATTAGGAAAGAGGCTGTTTG